AGACTTCAACTAAATAACTATTGCTGAGTCCAGGTGTCACAAGCGGTCAACGTGCGACTTCTTCTTCACCTACAACCCGCGACCACCACCACCATTATAGGGTAGGCGTTGGCGCCAGGGCTTGTTTACGAGCTAAATTTGTGGTGTAGGGCTGCGCTCCCCTATTGGCGGACGATGCTGGGTCTGTGGGTCATATACGACGTGAGGCTATTTTCCTGTGGGCTGATTGGTCTAACTCAATGGACGTGATCAGTCTGGTGGCGTGCGGCTGATAATGTTACAGTCAAGAAGTGTTGTAGGCTATGTTCTTCAGGGAAGGGATCATGATAGTCCATTCGAAGCACGGCAGTGGTGGTCTCCGACAGGCGTCCCCCCAGCCTTAGGTAAGACCGTAAGTGGTAATTGGTTAATGCCCCCAGGTGAGTGGTTAGTGCCCCCAGCCTCCCAGGTGAGTGATTAGTGCCCCCTGGCAAGTGGTTAGTGCCCCCAGCCCCCAGGAATCTCTCTGCCCTGGAGTGGGAGTAGCCGAGTAGGTAGGACTCTGCTCTGGAGTGGGACTCTCTGCCCTGGAGTGGGACTCTCTGCTCTGGTGAGGGACTCTCTGCTCTGGTGTATGACTCTCTGCTCTGGTGTGGGACTCTCTGCTCTGGTGTGGGACTCTCTGCTCTGGTGTGGGACTCTCTGCTCTGGTGTGGGACTCTCTGCCCTGGAGTCAGTGGAGTGGGACACTGGGACTCTTTGCCCTGGAGTGGGACTCTCTGCCCTGGGCCTGGAGTGGGACTCTGCCCTAGAGTGGGACTCTCTGCCCTGGAGTGGGAGTCTCTGCCCTGGAGTGGGAGTCTCTGCCCTGGATTGGGACTCTGCCCTGGAGTGGGATTCTCCATCCCGGTGTAGTCTACACTCTGGTGGCACCATTCTGTAGTCATTCAGCTGTCAAGAAACATTGGACAACTCTTCATAATGCCTAAATTTGTAGCTGAAAATAAAATTCCTTAATTTCCTTGAACTGTCATGTCATGGGGCTGCATTGAACTAGTCTTCAGAGGCCCCCATAAACTTTGATTTAATAAGAAAAAGAAGAACTATATAAGGTTTGACAGGTGCACAGCCGACCAGCCGTGCTCCCGCTCTGCTAATGGTCAAACGGACATTCCAACAATTTGATTTTAAAAGCTAATGCCATTAATTTTTATATTTCTGCTATTATTCTTGTTAATATTTTTCATTTGCTTTACTTCATACTTGCCATTTTTTCAGGAAAATCCTATTGAGAACTCTCAACCAGTCAACCTTTTAGTAGATTAAGCCATTTATTTAGGGCAGCTGACAGCCTTGGACCCAGTGTCACCTTTGATGATAGAAAATAGCTACTTTTTAGCTTAACACAAGAAAATTGAGTACTGACTACCAAAAATTCATAATTGAAAAGCACCAGCTCCTTTCCTGACACTTTCTTCCATTACTCACTTTCGTTCTAGTTTGTTACTTTGTTGGTGCTTTTGACTGAGCTTTGCAATAAATAAAAGCATATGAAATGGAACAGGATAAGAATAAAGAAAGAGGTAAGTTTTCCTACTTCCTAAGTTATTAGCACTTAGCAATGCAGAAATGAAACTAATTTGCAATGTAATATATGTTAAATTATTTTAAGGAATGAAATTTTATACCGTACTAGAGTACTATAAAAGAGTACTATAGTAATCGGTTCTACGTTCAAGTGTCAAACAGGGTAAAAAGAAAAGGGTAAGGGATGGGCATGGACCATGCCCATTTAGAATGCCATGGTGGCATCCTAAATGTCTTTTAAAGATAGTGGCAATCCAGAATCTTGGCCCACCCATTTTTAGCAGTGTTCAAAAATTTATATTCAGTTCACGTTTTGTAACTACCGGTATATATACCTTTTTTAAATGAAATAATGGTTCACAAGTTGTGTTCCATACTCCATAGTTGCAAATTTATTCGTTTACAACTACTACAATCATGCATTTGCTTTCATATCTTCAATAATTTAATTATGTTTTGATATCAAATTGATTTTAGCCACTGTTTTCAATTTGATTTTCTTAGTGGTGCCATAAAATACTTCATGCAGGTTCTTTGTTACACCTGGTGGAGTACTGAACATAGCAAATGTTTGGCAATTGTTTATTCACATGGCCACTACTCTGAGTCTGATTAGCCTGATTAGGGATGAGAAATTAGAATCTGCATTTTATGCATTGCAGATGCAGAACGGGCTATGTACCATAATACTACAGTACTTTGAAATGGCAATGAATTTTGTAATTGATGATTAGCGCAAAAAAATTAAACCTGACCGTTTTCATTTAGTTTCATTTTATAAAATACAGGTTTTTATTTATCATGAAATCAAACCAATAATGTTTTGTGGTGAAAAAGTTATTAGCACAATTTAATATCTTCTTATGTTGATGTAATAAAACCTAAATTATATTCTCCTTTATTCATAAAACTCCATTCCTTATCCAGATAATTGTTCTTTTTGGTTTGAAGGAAAGCCTTCAAACCTCTTTTATTCTTAAACCTAACTTTTGTGATTTTAAAATAACTTCAATGTAGGCATCTTAATTAATGTAGTCTGTTGCATAGATATCCTAAAACTAATTTTAATTCCTGTCTCATCTCAAAGAATAAGGTCACAGCGCCAGCATTGTAGCGACATTCATATAGGTCAAAATGATAGTTACAAAATTGAAGAACAGCACTCCCCTGTTCTTGATGGTTTTGACCTTCAGCGTGCTACTGTCTATAGCTGCAATGAGGAGAATGTGCATTGAACATTACCATACTTGCACATCATCCTCATTCAGCTGTGCGTGTCCATGCCAAGCACTGCAGTGTTCCAGTCTCTGATAGTGATTTTATGATTTTAGGGTTCTAGCTTTCACAACCGGTGTGTCTGACATAGAAATTTTAGAACCTCTGTATACTTTCAAACTGAAACCTAGTTTAAATGCGGCCTTCAGCTCCTATCCCCTTAAAACGGTAAATAGATAGGTCTGTCACATCATGTGTATTTGTTTTTTCTTTTGCCAATTTAGGTTTCATCTTCAATGTAAATTTTAGTTTTCTAATTGATTCTGCTTGTTTTATAGGCTTTTGAACTGATGATGGAGTTGAACTCCAAAATGTTTTCATTCCTAAGACATGGTGAATTTTCAGGCATTTTCTTTGCTTTTAAATTCTTGAGAATATAATTAATTATTGTTATATATGAAGCCACAAAAAAGTTAGTTGGCTCATCTCAATTCTCCCATGAATTAGCTATCAATTAATTCATTCCCTCATTGAGCAGGTCAAATGAGACTTCGGGGTTATAAATTTCCAGAACTCGTGCTAAAAATTGCACCCTTGACCTTATATGCAGTGAATTTACCTCCATTGGTAAGTTAACTCTTAAATCTTCATGCTGATACAGCCTCCTGCCAGTCTGTATCGGCCTAACTCCATTTTAACCAGTAATCAGTTTATCTTCTTCAATTGTATTGTTTATATCAAAACATTGTGCAATTGAATTTTTATAGCCATAGTTGAAGCATTTTATTGATCATGCTTGTATTGTTCTTGTAATCAATCATAACATAACATAACATAGTGATGTCGGCTCTGAAGTGTAGGCCTGATGTGGCCTGTCGCCGATTCTTTTCCATTTCGTGCCTTGTTCATAGAATCTAAACTCGTGTCATTTGACCGGATCTTTTCATGACTGGCGATAGTTTGAAGAAGCTACTATGGGTGGAGAGGGGGCGGGTGGAGAGGGGGAGGTGTAGGGGCCAAGAGGGTGGGGAGGGTATAGGAAGGCGAGGCCTGAGCGCAGTCAAGGCAGCGATTGTTCTCGGGTTACCGGCAGTCGCCAAGGATTTCAAAAACTTGCCCTCGTTTCACGCACTAGAATTTGTCGGGAATAAAACACTTGTACTAGCCGTTTTTCTCACTATTCGCACATCGTTTCGGTACAAAATTCGCGAAATAAGTCAAACCGGCATAGTAAAAAGTGAGAAAGTTGGGACCCGCAAACACTACGTGCGTCCTCGACCACTGCCAGATGCAAACTTTCTTGCATGTCTTTCTTGCATTTATAAATAGTTTGCCTCAGAGTGTTCTTTTTGAAATGTTGCAGCTAACAATACTACCTATGTTGGAGCACACAATAAGCATTCCAAAAAAGTCTATTGTAGCTGTAGTTGACAATCATTTGTTTGGCAATTTCAAGTTTATCAGAAATGATAAGATTTTGCAGAAAAATTGTCAAAATGTGATTTTCTCTTCAGATATCATCTAAAAATATTTTGGGGCCTAATGACTTTTGTCTATAAATAATTGAGTTGGCACTCAATTAATTTGTGTTCATGACCATAGTATTTTGTGACAATGTCTATGTCTGACTTACCTTTAACTAACTATGTTAAGTATTATTCAACTGGAAGTTCATTATTGGATTGTTTTTCATACATCAACAAATGCAACTTATTTTTTCATCTACTATCACAGCTAGTACTGTAAAAAAATGTCAATTAGTTTTTTAGAGCATTACAATGTTTTCACCAATGTTTTTTCCTTGAACTTTAATCATTTGATTATCATTTGAATTTGAATATCAGGTCACTAAAGATGTGATAGCTGAGAAGTTTTGTATTACACAAGACTGCATCACCCTGAAGGGGAAACCTGGCAAGAAGTCTACCTCAGCCATCATTGTTCCCCCCAGCTGGCACAAAAGTGATTTGTGAGTTGAGAAAGCCCAATGAACATATTGTGTAGTATTTGTGATGTTGTTGTGAGCAACTACAGCAATTCCCGACTGACCTGCCTGTCCTGCTAAAACATTGGTGTCATATTCTGGTCTGCTGATAAAGGTATGGCCTCAAAGTATTAATTCTATTCTTTATGCTGGACAAGTTTTCACCATTACGTTTCTGATGCCATTACTAGTTGATCTAGCTTGGATTTGAAAGTAATGCTTTTTTAATTGTGCCATAATTCTAAACATCAATGATAAGGTTTGAGAAATTTGTTACAATATAAGAAGTTTTTCCCTATTAGTGTGGGAAGACTTTAGATTAGGTCCACACCAGTAGTGGTTTTCCTGGAAGAAAATATATGAAAATAACTTGCTGTTATTTTCAGTAAACTTCCAAATGCATGGATGTTAATTAAAGGTACCAAAATCATATTAATGAACGTTTTGTTACTTTTTTTGATCAGTTTACCTCTAAGGCCCTTTATTTGCACCTCAATTTTCATTGGCTTCATTGCTGGCCTTACTGCCACATTACTTGCTGGATTAAAACCTGCCTTTTCACTTGAATTATTGTATTTAGCACCTTACCTTGCTCTTCCTATTACATTTATCAATACATTGGAGTGTAACTACACATTTGCCTTGCCTTAATGACTTATACTGCATTTGGCTGACCTTTTATTGTTACTTGTTCTACTAGCAAGTTAGCAACCCGCATTTCAGTTATTGGCTTCTCTCAGCCACTTCTGAAAATTACAAACAACAAAATTATAGAAGGTGCCTAGGTAAATTATGAGATTGATAAAAAATAAGTTCAAGTAAGAAATAGTTCTATTCTGGAAGCTATGGGATTCCTTGTATTGATTCCTAAGACACGAATTACAAGGAGGTAAAGTTATGTTTCAAGATGGCATTGAAAACATTACTGGGAAACATTTTCTTCATTTTACTTGATAAAAAATTCTTTCAATTCAAAGTTTATTGCAAATACTCGTTTTTTTCAGAATTTTGAGTGATCGTGATGCAATGTACTTTGGGAAGCGGAAAGCATTTGTAAGGCAATCTCATGACTCGGACGCATCACGACCTGCCTCAAAGCACTACAAGCCACATAAGCTGTCCAGTGAAGACTTTGACCTGAGCCCTGCCAGCAGTGGACAGCCTACACTTCATGTCCTCCATGATGACGTCTTGTTCCATATTATGAAATATTTGAATGTTGTTGAGAAACTGAATCTTGAAGCAGGTATGTTGTGTGAATGTAATACCTGCTCAGCTCAGGCTATTTCTCAGCAGCCATTTTAATCGATCCATTTAATTGTTATTACGTGAGTTACTTAGAGATGCTATCAAGGGAAGACTGTTTTACATCATACATTATTATAGAATAAGTAAATTTCGATAAACAATAATAAAGAGAACCAGGAGCAAAATATTTTAAATTCTGCAGTCAGATGTATCTACTACGAATTTTTACTGTTTTTTTTCTGTTGGCTTTTTTTATGGTGTTAGCATTTCTCTTTACAGTACTACAATCTATCGAACAATAATAGTTTTCACCTGCTTTCTATCTGACTCTAGTTTTCTCTAGACTTCCGACAGCTAAACAGGAAGGAGCAAGTTATTATATAATAATCAGTGCTCGACATTTTAATAAAAATAATCTATTACAATCTTGCAGTGTGTCGACGCTTTCAGTCGCTGGTTTACAGCGAGCTGGGCCAGAAGAACATCATAGACTTCACTGATAGCAAGCACTGCGTCTGGCGAAGTGCTTGCTACAACCTCTCCAAATGCCGCATGTGGGTTGGCTGGCTATCCTTACATGGAAATGATAGTGCTGCGGGAAGTCATTGTACCATTATGGGATGACTGTCACTACATGCAAGTGATTGTGTTGTGATATGACTGGCACCACAAGTAAGGGATGGTGTTCTGACAAGACTGCCACTACGAGAAGGGATGGTGTTCTGACATGTCTGCCCCCTACATGGGAGGAATTTTGTTGTTTCATGATGACAGACTTCAGATTGGACTTCTGACATGTGCCTTCACTGGTCCTATTGGATTTGGACCAGTGAAGGCACTGGTCCAAATGACCAGTGACCTCGTTGGATTTCACCTTTCTAGTTGCCTTGATCCTGGGTGACCACCACAGAGCTTGCGATATATGACTGTAGCTCTCAGTTGTGGGGTTGTTGTGGGGGTTTTCATTTACCACTCCACATTCAGTTATAAACTCCAATCAGAGAATTGACCGGCCTAGCTAGTTAACTTGAATTATTCACCAAGGCACGGACAGAAGCATAGAGATCGACAGGACGAATTTGGTTGGGAGAAATGAACACACAATAAATTGTTAGGTTATTTATTAGCTCAGCTCACGTGACCTGCTCGTTTTGATGCAGGAGGTTGATGCGGGTCCACGGGCCACCGTTGTTGGGTTGTTGCGTTGATATACACGTGGTTGAGCGGCGAGACGTTGGGGAGGTTATTCGATGCACATTGTGAGGTTGACGAAGTTAACTGAGCGAGCGCGTAGAAAGCTCACACACTATATACTTTACTGGACGTGCTCGTTGTGCCTATAGCTCACAGAGTGTCTCTAGCGAAAGTTCTCTGAGTTCACATGATATTAGTCAACGTAATAGGTACACGGCAAGAATTTACTGAGTTGATTAACTGATTAAGTTCACAGCGAGAATTCACTGAGTTGGTTGACTAATTAAGTTCACAGCGAGAATTCACTGACTATCAGAATGAGAGTTAATTGAGTAGGTATATCACACTTCACAGCAAAGTTCACTGAATATTCACGGATGAGCGTCGGTAGACTGAGTTGGCTTGAGGCGTGGCAAGATGGCGGCCTGCGAGTTGGCGGGAAGTCAAGCGTGTGACGCCGATGTCGAAGACTCGAAGCTGACCCAGATGCTGGCCGGGATAATTAGATTTGCTGACTGAGATGACGTCAGGCGGGAGATTTCGCGTGATCTTGATTTTATGCGTTGCAGGAAACAGATCATGTAGAGCTGCGAAATAAGGCCTTTGTTAATACGCTATTCACATTTTACGACACCATCTCACAAATGAGCTAAAGCCACGTGAGCTATATTTATGGCATGAAAATATGTTAATTTAATACGTTAATTTAATTTATTCACTTGCAATGACTCCGACTTCGGAACTAACTTTACTCTTATACTTAACACATTGAATGAGAGCTATTCTACGGCAGAATAATTTCTAAGTTACGGAGCTTACGTGAGAGATGTTGACGACTCAAAGTCAGGAGGCAAACAAAGCGTTAGGATTTTGAGAGGCTATAAAAGAACCAGTGAAAAAGGGCTAGAGCTGTTGCCATCGACTGAGCTGCTTTCTCCGAAACTCTCGTGATGATGTTATAATTATTTAATATGATTTAAAATGTACAACTCTAAATGTGTATTGTAAGTGTTAATATTAATGTTAGTATAAGAAACCTAAAAATTAGTTCTATTATGTTAGTATGAGAAACATAAAAATTAGTTCTATTATGTTAGTATGAGAAACATAAAAATTAGAGATATGTTATGCATAATATTAGTGCTATGTAGCGAGATCCGCTACATTTTCATAACATGTACAGGATCACTAACATTTCTCTATCTCTCACGTGCGGAAGGCCGACGTCCCGTGTGAGCGGCCTCTTGTACGAGTGTCTTGGTTTCTGTTTCTGCTCACCTGTCCCTTCATATTTTTTCACTTTGATATGCTAACTCTGCTTCTTTTTGCCAGCTTTTGCGGCCAGGCCACTTACGACCTCCCACTTCATGTGGGTTTATGAACGATTTGTAAAATTTGCAATAATAACTGCTTTATTTTCGAATTCTTGTGTGAAATAGCTTAATAACTGAAGCCCTTTTTAAATATTCTATCACTACTATTTCATGAATTGCATCTACTATTGATATTAATTAATATAATTTTTTCCTTGATTTGTTCTCATCTGTTCTATAAGTAATGCAAGGTTTGGACTTAAGTGTACTTGTAGTAGGATATTTCATCCACTCTTTCTCCCATATGTTTGCTTGACACTTATGTTGCAATGTGTTGTAATAATAATGTGTGTTGGCATAGCCACGTTTGTTTTGCATTCCAGCAAGTCGCCGGCCCAGCGCACGCAGGACATCAAGCTGTGCACCTACAAGATGCTCATCATGAACGCAAACCACCTCACCACTCTCAGACTCGACGAGTATCGGTGCATCTTTGATGTCAACGTATTTGCTGCTATAGGTAAGCAGTTAAATTTGTCCCTGCTTCTTCCAAATCAGATCCATAAACTACAATATTTAGTTTAAAATGTCAGTTACAAAACCACCACTAAACTTTAGATTCTTTTTTAATGCAATTCATGGTACTCAATTCGATTGTCTCATCCTAATAAAGACAGGATAATTTACGTTTCTAACAGTCTAGTTGAGATTGTGAACGACTGCTGAGCCTGTCCAAATAACTGAATATGCTGACATTTTTCAATTTTAGGTCGACTTGCTGTGAACTTAGATGATTTATGCGTGCTGTTCTCGTACAAGAGGAAGCACTACACCTCCATGAAGACCATCTTCTCGCGCTGCTCGAAACTCAGGACTTTCTGTCTTGAAGTGAGGCTCAAATGGCAGAGTTGTCAATGCTGGGTCCTAGCAATAGTGCATTGACCTCACCTTTGTATCATGCTTGGTGTCCTGCAACTAGTGTTAGCACCTATACCGTTGTCTGCACCTATATATCTCAAGGTTTTAGTCATAACAGGTGTGCAGTGTCGGAAAATATTGACCTATATACGTATACGTAGTTCTTGTCTTGATGATGAACTCTCCATAACGTGGCCCCTCAGGGGGGACTGCTAACGTGTGTCTGTGCTCGTCAGAAGTCCTATGGGATTTCGCGCTCCTAAGGGTATTCTTCGTGAGCGCCCCAACGCTGAGGTTAAGGGGGTTAAGGTTGAGTTATTATGTAGGTAGGATTCCTTACATTTCACTTCTCTGTCTCTCTCTTATGGGCGGCTGACGTCCCATGTAAGCAACCTCTTGCTCGAGTGTCTTAGTTTCTGTTGCTTAGTTGAGATGCTAACGCTGCTTCGTTCGAGCCAGCTTCAGCGGGCTGGACATTTCAGACCTTCCGCCCCTTGTTGGGGATGAATGATTTTCTGATTTAAGGGGACCGGCCTCCGGAAAAACTTCTACAGTTATTATCCGATCATCATGAAACTTCACATACATACGTAAAATGTAAAAATAAGAACATTTTGCTTCTATGAATTTTTCAAAAAAATTGATAGAAAACGTGAAATTCAAAGAAAACGGCTAAAAAGGGGTACTTTAGAAAATCTTATGGCAGTGGTACCATTGGAAAGAGCAGAATTCCAGCTTTCAGATAAGCACAAAAACCGAAAAACGCCAAAATTGAAAATTTTAGGGTAGCCGGTCCCCTTAAGAAACTTTCGATAACTGAGACCTTCCACCTCGTTGGTGATGTTCATCTTGACTTTCCGTGCGAGATAGCTGAAGCGCTAGTAAATATTTGGCCACTTAACTAACTAAATTTTACTGTGGTATTTTATTTGCGTTCTCTTTAATATAACCTGCGTATTCTATCTCTTAGCAATTTGCTCAGTATTTCTTTACTTTGTGTTGATCTGCTTGAAAAAATTTGTTTCTCAAGTGTTGTTTTTAAGTAGATCTGCTGACAGTTTGGACTTCTGCTTGAGGAAAGTTATTTATGTGTCTCTTTTTATGATATAAACTTCTGCACCATTTAATGGATGAAAATTGTTCTAATAGCTGAAAAAAATTCACTCGTTCAATATGAAGAATAGGAAAAATTTGCTTGCGACTCTTCGGATCGTCAATTAATGAATGAATACTCTTACAGGGCACATTCAACGCTGACGAATTATTGCGAGACTTAAGGCAATGCAAATGCCTTGAGGTGTTGTGGCTGGGCAGATTGACGCATCTCAACTTCGCTCATCTACGGAAGTTGCAAGCTCCTCTGAGAGAGCTCTCGATCCGCAGCGTTGAATTGTTATCGAACTTGGGATCAAACGAAAGCTTTCCAGACTTCCCTTTCAACTCTAGCCTCACGACATTACGCTTGTTCAACCACTGCTCGCTTCCACCGATGTAAGAGTCAAATGTCGGGTAACAGGTTTCAGTAGAAGCGGACTGAAGGAAAAACAGGTAAGAGGAACGTAACTAGCGGTTGACATGGATGAAATTTCAATTGTTGATGCTCTTTATGAGCGACTCGGATGATGATCAAGCTCTCTGTCTAAACTGAATTATATTACCGATAGGTTGAATATCTAGAGCAAATTTGATCTGAAAGGAAGCTCTATCTTTAATTAGATGTATTCTCGTTTTATGCATACAATGGCAGGTTCTCTGACAACAAATTTTAATGTATCTCATAGAATAGAATTCAATAGAAGTGTCGGCACTGAAGAAATAGGCCCATGACCTGTTGCTGATTCCTGTACTTTTCGTGACTTGATTTACTTGATTCACAGGAGATCTAAAAACTGGCCTTATGACCAGATCTTTTCATAACTGACGAGTGACGATTATTTGAGATAACAACTGGACTTATTACCAGGTCCGTAAGTTACTAGGCATTTCAAGAACGACCATATGCTCCTGCATAGCTTCGTCTAGTCTGTTCTTAAAGGCGTTCATGCTCGGAGCGTCAACTATGTCATCAGGGAGGCTGTTCCACATGTCGGTGACTCGAAGCGAGAAGAAATGTTGTCGCATGGATGTGATACAACGCAGTCTTTTAAGTTTATAACCTTGGCTTCTTGTGTTGGTTCTAGTTTCAAGTTCTAGGACTCCTTCTTGAACCTTGTATGGGTTTGATTGTCATGATGGGTTTGATTTATGAAATGAGGCAAATTTTTTTTTAATTTTAATATCATTGCAGTAATGAATAGAAGAAATGTGTGTGCGAGCATCATTTCTAAATTGTCTTGAAAAGACTTTTTGTATATACGTATTAGTTCATGTTTCCTTAATTGTCCCTTGCTTGAAGTTGAGTAAAGTTAGATCATGCATTTAATTCTCGTGGGTAAATCGTCACAAAAATTATTTGAATGACGTGCCATTGACGTGAATGACAATTGACGTGCATTTGTGATCATCACAAGCAAATATCTGAGTTGCATTCAATAAGAATGAGACTTCTATGCGAAGTTCAGGGATATTACTTGTTTAACTTCTTGAATTAAGTCAATTAATTTTACATGTGGTGTTTGCTGTGCTTGGCGCGCAGGGAATTGTGGCTGGGGGAAACTCTTTTCTCAATGTCATGCAAGTGTCCTGCGCTGACCCAACTCCAGCTTGATTGCTACTGGTATTGTGGGCCTCCCAATTTCAAGACATTCAATAACTTGAAGGTAGGAAATTGTTGCAAGATTGCGAGCATTCATTGTCAGAGACTCTGGGCAAGACTACTATCTGATAGTGTGTACAAAGATTTGTTTGATTAGTCAAAATCCCGAATCCTGATCAACTATTTTTGTGATGTCATTGATAGTTTATCCTTTTTATGTTTCATTTGAGTGGCAAAACGGCTTTTTGTTGTCGCAGGTGCTACATTTTATTGCTTGTGACGAGGATAAAATTAAGGTTCTTCTCAAAAGCGCACTGCCTGACGTCGAGGATCTCTACATCGAGTTTTCGACAAGAAAAGTTTATGACGTGAGTTGCGAGTGCAAGTGGGACTGAAATTGCCAATGAACTGAGTTGTAGCCCCTTCATTTGGAAACCTTGTTGATATTTTCTTTTGACTATATTCACTGCCGTTGAAGATTTCAGAGTTCTCAACTTCATGGTTTGTCACTCAGATTTCTTTTAAATGTGAACGTGTTCAAAATTTTATATTCTTGTTATGTTTTTATGTGATATATGAAAAACTCTTCCTTGTGTAAACCAATAGTTTTCAAGGTTTAGAGGCAGGGGCTGCTAACTGCTCAACATCACTATTACAATTCCATAAGCTTGTACACCATTTCCTTGGGACGGAATTTTTAAATCGGACCTTTTTTAGGGAATTTCAATATTAACAATTAAGCATATCCTCGATCGAGGACGTGTGAATAAGTCCTGAGAACATCTTTGTATGCAAGTTAGTTTCCCTATGATTTTGGAATGATACAGTGTACATGGGACATAGCAACTATCTTTGGATAGCATGAACTATTAATTTATAACATAACATAGTGGTCTCGGCGCTTAAGTGTAGGTCTGATGTGGCCTGTCGTCGATTCTTTTCCTTTCCGTGCCTTGTTCACAGAAGATCATTTGACCTGATCTTTTCATGACTGACGATAGTTTGAAGTAGCTACTAGACTTCCACCGGGTTCGATAAGGTGCTAGGCATTTCAAATCTGAACATATATTTTTCCATAGCTTTATCTAGTCTGTTCTTGAACGTGTTCATACTTGGAGCGCCAACGATGTCATCGGGGAGGCTGTTCCACATGTCGGTGATTCGAAGCGAGAAGAAATTTTGTCGCGTGGAGAAGTTGCAGCGCAGTTTTTATATCTTATAGCCGTGGCCCCTGGTGTTGGTTCTTGTTTCAAATTCTAGTAATCCTTCGGGGACCTTGTATAGAACATGAGTATACTTGTATACTTCAATGAGGTCCCCACGCAGACGTCGATAACTGAGGCTTGGAAGCTTCATAATCTTCAATCTTTTTTCATAGGACTTTATATTACAGTAATCCCTCGCTTATCGCGGGTGTTACGATCCTGCTCCGGCCGCGATAATGAAATCCACGATGGCGAATTGAATGATAGTGCTTACTACAGTGTTTATTATACAATTGTTTTAAAATTCCATTACTTTAAATGTTAAAGAAACCCTACATCATTACTGCCGATCAACTTCCGTGGGCTATTTAAATTTGCCGATTGACTTCCTCAGAAACCCGCAAACCAGCGATGATCCGTGATTGATTTCTAGCATCAACGTTTCTTGAGAGCCCGCGATGAAGTGAAGCCGTGTTAGGTGCAGCGCGATGTAACAAGGGACCACAGTTTTTGTTCTGGGGATATGCTCAGAACTGATTAGGGTGCAATGTTTGTCGTGCGCGCAATTAGAAATTTATCATGAAACGGCCTGCAATGGTAATTCCTCTCGACTAGAGGCAAGATTGAAGTTTTTGTCGGTCCGTCGTAATTGGACTTGCATTGCATTGATCATATAAGGCAAATAGTATTCGCCTTGAAAATACAGGCCTTTCATTCATGTTGAAAATCGTACCATTCTTTTCTCTGGAGAATTGTGCTCTAAACGACCTTGTTCAGTCTTCCATTTGTGTAAAAATCTTGAACCTGATGAATTCTGAACAATCCCATTAGCCCTTATAGGCCTAGAAACTTGCGTTACTAGGCTATTTGTTGTTAACGACGCTGACGATTGATTATGTAGCGGATGACAGTGTTTAAAGACTGGTAACTCCCGTCATCAGTCCTGTAGGTACAAATAACATTGATGGCGGTCAATGAATCCGCGGACAAATGGTTGTACCTATAAAATTGTTCAGGCCCGTTTTATTAGATTGAACGTTTTTTTTTCATTTTTCACTTACTCGTCGGTACCCTATCAATGTTTATCATAAAGAAAATTAATTTGACGCAAACATCACTGCTTCGCTTTGGCCAGTGCAATAGTTTGATTTCGTGTGAGGAAGACGGTGTTGCATTAATTTTCCTTATTACACGCGTTACGAAGCTTGATGAACAGTTGATTTCGTTCAACTCCTATTGGAATATTTTAGATGCCCATCCAGACATTACGCTCTTGACATAAAGTCTTGAATAATTAGTTTTGCTGCGAGTTGATAGTTTTTCATTTTTATCTTCTGAAAATAGTTATTTTTCTCCTCAGATGTACGCTGCAAATAAAGTCCTAACTGTAGACTTTTCGGTGGCACCGATGTCAATGAAGTCCCTGACGCTGCCTTCCGTCACTTTGGACGATAACTCCTACAAGAGCCTCCTGCGCATGCCCAAGCTGCAGCGAGTCTTTGTCAAAAGCAAGAAATTCTCACTGGCTCAGCTGAAACTGTGAGTCTATCTCTGGTCCTTGCATATTTGTGTGAACTCGAATACCGGAGTTAATTCGGTTAGCTTCTTCGCTGGCAAGTTTTTCGTTGTTCAGCCTTCAAATGAGATGGGTGATCGATGGACATTCCTATGGCTATGCCACGCACGTACACACAGAATTATAAAACGTTTGTCTTCAAAGTAAAACGTTTGAAGAATGAATTGAAATTGATTGGCCGATGAAAGGATTTTATCGTGTCTATTTATTTCGTAAAACAATCTGTCACACACAATGCACGTCTCCAGCACAGTCCATTGCTGTTTCTTGAAATTTATACAGGTTTGGTTGAAGACCAGAGCGTACTTTTTATTTACGATTTTCTTATTGTTCTTTTCGATAAGCCGAACGAAATTTCTAGCTGGAGCTTGGAGATCAAAAAGTAGATTACCGAATGACATTTTATTGCAGTGCGACGTTTCGAATATATCAATATTCATTATTGATATATTCGAAACGTCGCACTGCAATAAAATGTCATTCGGTAATCTACTTTTTGATCTCCAAGCTCCAGCTAGAAATTTCGTTCGGCTTATCGAAAAGAACAATAAGAAAATCTTAAATAAAAAGTACGCTCCGGTCTTCAACAAAACCTGTATAAATGAAGAACTTCTGCCTAACTACACTAAGTTTCTTGAAATGTAGATTATATATTTTTAGATTTGTGAGATTTTTATGCATTTTCTCGTAGTTTTTTGTACCTTTTCGTTCTAATTTCATACAAGCTACTTGAGTATCTTAATCGTGTCCTGATAAAGATGTTCCCGACTAAATTGTTTCCCCACACTCTTTTTATGTTGCCCGCCTGTGACAGGCATTACGTGGCCGGTAACAGCCGCGTTGTTACCTCGTGTAACCTCCCTAAATGCGTGTTGCCCTGTAGGCTCGTGGCCCACGTTCAGCTGGTCGAGATCGGCGCCGCGATGGTGACCGTGGATCTCGCCACGGCACAGGAGCTTGCTGCGCTGCGCAGCAAGGCGCTGGCCGCGAGCAGGTCCAGGTTCCCTTCACTGTGTCTCGACCACGACAAGCCCCTCGTGCTGCATGTCAACTACGCCCACCACGTGACCTTCGCAGATCCTCTCATAATAATTAAAGGTTTGCTCCCACACGTTTTCCTGTTGCTGGAGTATATCAAATTACCTGGCTCAACTTTCTTCGGATAAATCATGATCAATTGACATTTGATGCAGTCTTTAGGCGATACGTTCTCTGCTGTTGATCTGATATGTTCCTTTATGAATTTTCTTCTGCATCCCTTGGTTAGATATTGTAGATAGTGTGGACTAGCTCCATTGTTCTGAATTTCTTTGGTTCACCTAAGCGTGCATTTTTCTTTACATTTTCTGCTTTTTGAGCTTCGCATTTATTACAAAGCATGAATTGCATTCAGGGCTTAACACCACAACTGAATGGCCTTGAATTTGTTATATCGTTCTGATGTGCATGAATGTGTTTTTGTTTAGACCACAAGATGAACTCGTACATCTACGAGCGCGTCGGGTCGTGTCGCTTTGAAAGCGAGTGGCTGGACTTCGGCCATGATTCCCACCAGCAGGCGGCTGGCAAAGATGCCCCGGACACTGATGACGACGACTGGTATAACGACACGACCGTATCGTTTGAGGACGGCTCCGACCACGACTAATAAGGTGGGGACATCGACTGGCTATATGATGATCTTGTCGACGAAGATATGTGAACGTTCGTGGTCTGTAGAACTTGAGCATTCGTAAGAAATGCCCAGTTTTAAACTTATATAAATATTTTGTGAGTAGCTATTTCATCATATCTTCTCTTTTTGAAGCAGTCATGGATGACGCTGAGCTCTTGAACTGATAAGTTAATCTATCTCACTAAATTACAATCGAATCAAGAAAATTTTCCCGGAACTTGTAGATATGAGTAGATATGATGTTACTAAATGGTTCGTGTGAAATAATATTAATTCCTGAAGAAGCAAGAAAATGGACACTGAATTGTTGCTAGTTTCAATGTGAACAATGAATAATTAATATTTCAAGCATTTGATTTCTATATTATAATTTCAGTCATGTGCGGATTTTTACTAATAGCCTGAATTCTTATTGCATCCTTATTAAAAAAATTTCCTAAACTCGGGTCCCTAATTTACAACTTAAAACATATCTTGCAGAAGAAGGTACGCTCTACGACGGCCGTCGTGAATACTGAGCCTATCCTGGCTTGTGCTGCAGTTCTGTGATACGACGACGAGTGGAGCTGACCCGGTGTGTTCTGCGGTGTCCAAGCAATCTAGTCTTCCCATTGCCAAAGTGGCGTCAATGATTTGATTGCTAGATGTTTTCTAGTTGGTACGTTAAGCTAAGAATTTCGAGGCTATAGCTACGTATTCGTATAAGGAGAAATTCAGTTTAAAATAACGAGAAATTTTGTTTGATGTTTTTTTATAACTTGTCGCTGAACGATTTATGTAATTCGAGATTTGTTAAATTATTTTGTAGTTTCGTTTTCATTGGAGTTTTTTTTTACTTCGACTCAAAATTGAGGCCTGTCTTTTAAGACATAACTTCTTATCTGCTGTGCAATCTTTGGTTCTATACTATACCACAATCATGGATCGTCTCTGATCTCTGCACTGATCTCGGTCACGCGAGTGATTCTCAGGGACCGGGCAATGTGTCTTTACCTAATTCTTTGCTCCTTTTTTGCCTTTTTATCGGATCAGTTGAAATCTCTTAGCGATATGGTGTTACAAAGGTTTCCTGGAGATCTGAACTTTTTAGCTTTGTTCAAATAGTACAAATGGTCCTTATTTTTAATTTCCTGCGTTCGTTTTGGCTGTTCTATCATAGTAGCATCAAAATGCTCAAAAGCAAGATAGTTTCAAATAAATTTATCAATCTACCTTGAAAAATAAGCTCTAAGTTTCTGCGGATATTTTACTGCTTTGACGTTGCCGTTTGTGTTGTTTCCTATCAAACGAAACTTTTCATTATTGTTACATTTTGAATTTATGCATGATACTATATAATTGCTGATTAAAGTGATCAGTCAACTTGCTTTACTGTTCGAAAATTGTACTCGCTGAACTGCTGCAGGAGTTGATACCTATCCATTAATATGATCGTGCTTTATGGAAATATTTCTAGCAAAAAATCATAATGTCCGTGTACCGTTTCTGAAAACTCGATTTCTTTTTGTGTTAGTAATAGAGAGAGGGAATATTTTTCCGCATTCATTTCGCTGCACCTTGCATGGAGGAATCGTAGTATAATTTTGTTCTTACCATCTAATGGATTGAGCATCAGTCCTGCTTAAGTTTATACCGTCATTGCTTGAACTATCGGTTAATGACTTCCAAAGGCAATATAAAATTTTTATTTGCAGTGCGATTTTGCTCCAGTTCTCACGTGTCCGAGTAAGTTCTTTTGTATATGTAGAGCTTGTGTTGATGATGTTTTTTTTCTTAGCCCAAATTTGTTTTTAGGCTTACGCAGTTATTAAAAGGAATATTTTTGTATTGAAATAAAGAGGATATTTTGGTGGTGTTTCATTTGTCCTTGGAGTCGACGTACTGAGTCTATCAATAACAAAATTTACAGTGTCCTTTAAACGGTCAGCTTTGGTTTCTTAGACGGACCTTGGAAGATTCCGCAGCCACAGTTTAGGGTGGGCACTGGACAGTTGTGCCAACTGCCCAGAGTCCTAGACGTGCCAGCGCCAGAAAAGTCGGCTCGGGGCCTCGTAGGCTCGGACCAAAGCAGCCAGTGGGGGACCTGTGTGCGCATGTGGACTTGCGGCGCGGATATGTAGCTAATTGGAGGCACAACGAGCAGAACCAATTGCTGGTAACGTCTGAGGCTGAGGGTTGGAAATTTGCTCTGCTGTTTGGCTCGATCATCGGTGTTACCACCGGCACCAAACCTGTTAGTGTCTCCAGGTCCCCATAAAAAAAAAAAACAGTTGGCCTAAGCCAACTGTGTAGAGTAACCAGGAGTCCAGGACCAGGATGCATAACCCTGGGGAGGCTGGGGAGCCACCTCCCCAGTCCCCACGGGCCACGCCTTCCCAAGCTCCCAGAATCCCACTTATCCCAGTGTCCAGTGAGCCATGTAGTTCAAGTAGTTGCAATGGGGATATTTGGCCCTCCCAGAGGCAGAGGGGTCTTAGGCTACCAAACCGGCCACCGGGTACCGGCTATCGCACTGGCACTTTGCAGACATGAGACATGCCTCCAATAGTAAGAGGGAGTGCAGTTATTTTGTGAATGCATGATTGCATCTGCCATTAGAATGATTAGATGATAAGACTTTTAGTCTTAGAATAGGCTAACAGTAACACTAAATTTTGTAAGTTTTCACAATTTTATGTCATTCAATCATATTTATTTCTTTTTGGATAATGGATTTAGCTCTTACAGAGTTACACTGCAAGTTAGTGAAGTTACACTTACTGGCATTGATTAAATTGATATTTCTGACTTGCAGGTTGCCCGTTGCAGTTGTGAACTTATAGGCTAGTTCATGAATGATGAATCATTAATCCATATCTCATATGATGATATGAAGTCGCTTGGGAATGGCCGAACGGGAAGTGATTATTGCTGTGATGCGAGTTTCGATTGTGAGTTTGTGGTGAGCGGACGTGTGAGCTCCGCAGCATGGTGCCAATCCATAGGTTATTCAAAAGAACCTGTTCTTATGTCATTTTGAACCGATCAACACTTCTTTATGGACCGATCGTATAACACACCTTCACCGGCAAAAGCTTTCACACTTCTGAGCGAGCTGACAGCTACAGCTACAC